TGTTTAATTCACATTTCTACGCCATAAGAGAACGCAAAAGGTAATTTAACGCCAAATGAATCCGTGGTACCTCCAAAGCAAGAAAGCAACTTGGTAAGAGACTGTGTCTGCGTGTTCGCACTTTTTGTCACCCACTTTCAACTCGAGAACCAGAAAAGCTGAAATTTCGAGAGCATGTGCCCATCCCATGTGTGACTCTCCCGTTTTATTTCACTTTTGAAATACTGCAATTAAATCGTCTTATTTGTTACACAAAAATTTGCTGCTACCAAATAAACTTACTCAAAAACGCATAAAAAAGGGGTACGGCTTGAAGTAAGCTACCCTTCCAAAGCACACGCACGTGCACTGACAAATATTACGTTTTTGTATACAAGCATGCACAAACAGACATTATGCGTACACACACATGCACATGTACACACAGAAATTTGCATGCAAACATATGTACGTACGCACACGCGTCTACATCCATATAAACATAAGAGATGTTTACACACACGTACAAACACAAACACGCACACACACATACACACACGCATACACATACACTCACCAATAGAGGTTTTTTAGTGAATTGTAATTAAAGAAGTATAAAAGACATTTAAAAACTAAATCTTTTTGGGGTGTTGGAAGCTTATGTGCTCGTCCTTGGTGGGCAGAAAACAGGAATAGTAATTTCGAATTTGATTTCAAATTAAGCCTCGCAAATTCCTCTTTCCCTTCCTAAGAAAAAAATGCACGAAATGTTTACACTGATATGGCTCAAGCTTTTCTCTTTTCGTGACGGGTAGCTAAATGACTCTTAAGACAATTTCGGAACAAAGTAAAAAATGGTGAATTTTTTCGAAAAATAGTCTTCATATTTGAAATTTTAAAAGAATCAGGATTTCTGAGGGGTGAAATTCCGTGGCAGTAAAAACAAACAGAATTACTTCAGCTCCAGCCAAAGGTGCAAAAAGACATGCGTCAGTATCAATTTACCCCAAGTGGCTAGATGTGTGGGACAGACATCTTCTTAAACAGATGGTCTTTCGCCTTAAAGGCATGAACAAAAACTGTAAGAGGAAAACTTATGGAAACATCCAGGAGGGAAATCCCTACTTTCAGATTCGGAACAGTCTGACAGAAACGAGCTCACGCACATTCTTGAGGAAGGAAGAAATTGATTGAGGGAAGGAAGAGAGGAAGGAGAAGGAGGAATAGGGGTCGACAACAAAAAAATCAAACTGCTTTCTTCATTCGTATTTGGAAAATCGCGATTTTTTTGGGCACTGGACTTACATCTCGGTGTAAAGCGTGGCTTGATCGGCATCTGAGGCCGACGGAGGGGTCGCCCGATACGCTGTGACGTGGTTGGTGTTGTGTTCGGCGTATAATTGCCATTCACCTGAGCCTCGTTGTAACGTGCCATTAACATTTCGAATCTGAAATACATACTGTACGGTGATGCGTAACAAGAGGCAATCGGATGGCAGCTCGAACAAACAAAAAAATGTACGATAATCTTTTAAGGCTACAATAAAATGCATGTATTTTTTTCCCGACAGATGTGTAAGGCACATCCCAGATATGCTCGGTTCGACCGAAATAGACCGT